GAATAATTATATTCCTTTCAACCTCTAATTTCTATATTGCGAATAAATGCTTTTGATGAGATATATACTTTAGTTAACACATAAAGGTAAATTTACATTAAATAATAATAAGCTTATAATAAATGTACTTGTGTAATTTTATATTAGGTACCGTTTAAGTGACCTCAAAAAAACATCCTTATGATTGAAAACAAAAATAAATGTTAATAACTATTTCACACTAGTTATTTAAAAATTATAATTACTTAATATGACGAAACAATTAGCTATTACTGTTGAGTGATTTTTTTAAATTTATAGTTTATTATTTGGTCCGCCTAAATAATTATAATTTTTAAGATCCTCTTTAATAAATATTGCTTTCTCTAGGTCCTCCTCTCTAATTTTTCCAAAAAAAAAAAACTCCTTTCTTTCATTATTATTAACCCCACTATCAGTACTCTTTTTATTAGGAAAATTTTGACACCATTTAGTGCTAGCTTTCATTGGCTAGATACAAGACTAGACTAAGCTCACAACTAGGGTTGTCAAACTCACGAGTTTAAGTAAACTCGTGACAGGTATGTAAACTCGAATTTATGAAATTCATACATGAAGTCACTATGCATAATCAAATAATAAAATAATTATAAATTTAATAAAAATTATAACTTGGACCACTGATTTGGATTTTCAATATTTTAAAGGTTTTTATAGTTAAATAATTTAACTGTCTTCTACGCATGCTTTGATATAAATTTTACGTAATTTTAACAAAAATAATTTTATCATTGTATATTAAAATTTTATGAGTGGGGAATATTATTCCATCAATTTTTCTTTAAATATTCAAGTATTTTTCATGACGTATTGACTGGCATAGGAGAAGTTTGATTACCATGCTCACAACCAAATATTATCTAACTAAATACATATTTAATCTGACTACATATTTACTCAAACACTATCTACTAAAAAAAAGATATATATTTAATCAGATTATAAAAAAGTAAACTGTAATTTATTTTATATGACAATTAATTATATGTCTACATTTTTTTAATTAAAACAAACTCAACATGTAAAAATGACTAAATATAAAATTCTTATCCATCATTTAGCAAAATACATATCAAAATTTAAAAAAAAATTAATCAAGAGAATGTACCTTAATCAGAAGAAAAATTAAGCCTCAAGTTGAGATAAAACGTATGCAATATTTGCAAGGCCACACACACCACCAACTTCACGTGAAATTGTGGAAAGAGAAAGAAGAACTGAAGGACCTGCAGATAAAATTCAATTCTTCACGCGAAATGCCTTATATATAGAGAAAGAAGAATTGAATTGTATGAAGAATTGAGGTTGAAATAAAACGTATTTACCTACTTCACGAGAATGCCTTACACATAGAGAAAGAAGAATGTGAGAAGTGAAGAGAAGCCTTCTGATGAGTGGGAATGGCGAATACCTTATATAAATAGAATTCATACTATACACTCACATGCAAAAACAAAGTATTCACGCGTGAGAGACATTGAATGACTACTCTATATTGATGGGAATATTTGGGGAAGGAAGAAACACTTTGCGTGTGGCTGGAAAAGGCAGAAATAGTCTGGTCAAAATATGAAAGCTACACGCAAAAGGCAGAAATAGTCTGGTCAAAATATGAAAGCTGAAAACGCATGGAGTGTAAGACAAATAGTGGGTCCCACTGAAGTTGTTCAAACCAAGAATAACTTCTATTTTGTGATGTGGGTCCCACTGAAGTTGTTCAGACCAAGAACAACTTTCATATTTTGGATGTGGGTCCTACTGAAGTCGTTTTTGGCCTGAACAACTTCTGTACAAATTTAAACTCGTTCACTGTCTGAACGATTTCAAGTGTAGTATCTGAGTAAATATTTTTTATCTTATAGCATCTGAGTAAATATTTTTACTGTTTGTTGTGTCTGGATAAAAAAGCCGTTAAAGAGTGTTTATTCTTGATGAAGGTCATTTAGATTGACATTTTTTTTTTTGAGCCAAGATTTGCGTGGTATATTTGTAGGATTTTAAATGCAGAACTACAGCCTGAGTTCTTCGGATAAAATATCCTCCTGTTTCTTCCGATGAGATTTCCAGAGGACGAGAGAGAAAAAGAAGAAGAAAGAATTAACACGGGAGAGAGAGAGCAAACAACTACAGATAATGACACATGGAATCAGTAGGACCTACAAAAAATTAAAATCATAGACGTTTGTCATAATTAACGGAGATGACATTCCTGCCACATTTTAAAAAGTTTATAAATATTTGTGCCTTTTTGAAATTATAGTGAATATATTCGACCCTTCACCCTATATTAATTATAAATTATATATGTGTGTGCATGCGATGGGCTCTTGGCCAGCCAACCATCAATTTGAGATATTGTGCAAAACGAAATTATATTAAATATTTTTTAATTATATTTTAATTTTAGCCAATTATCAAATTTTAGAGTAAAACACAATGTAACACCTACTTTTTACTTCACCTGAATTATATAAAAATCTCCTATTTATTTTAAAAATATATAAACCTCTCTCAAAATTAAAAGGTATGTTACACGGATATTCATATGATAAAGAATTCACTTTCATCCATCCAAATTATTAATTCATCATTAAGTTTGACTCTTGATCTATTGTTTTGATCAAAATACCCCTTTTTAACATATGAATTATTTAAATATTTTTATAAAATAAATTTTTGCGCAACATAAAAATAATTCCAATACATGTATCTTTATACGAGAAGCCGGGACAGTAGGAGTCGGTGCTAAGCCATGTTCATGGGGCCTGGTAGAAGAGATACTAATAATATATTGAATATTGATGATATTGATATTGATATTGATATTGATTGATAAGAGCCTCAATCAATTTTGACTCTTTTTTTCCAATTAGTTCACCGGAAAATTACCAAAAAAAGCACCAATGGTACCGGACACACTTCATCACCTCTCCACCTCCACTTGACATAAAGGTGGAGGGTGAAAATAATATATTGACTCCTCTTTTTCATTTTTCTTTTGATCACACATGCACCTAATCACGGGTTTTAAACGTTCTTTTTCATTATGTCCAAAGGGCTCTGGCCAATTGTGACTCCTCTTCCCTTCCTATCATTTTCTCCTTTTTTTTAGCCGTTAGATTGACATCGATCTCTTTCTTTAATTGTTAGATTGGCACATTTTAACGGTTGAAAAATCTAGTGGTTTCTTTTTTTTTTGTGTTTTACTGATTTGTTCCCTTGACTGTGAAAGAACATGGTATATAGGTCCCGTTTGGTATAAAACATTAAAAATGAGGAATAGGGATTGAGATTGAAAGTGTAAAACTATATTAAAAGAATGTTTAGTATGAGCAATTGTATGATACTTGGGATTAGACAAATCTATATATGTAGGATTGGAGAATACTATGAGAAGAGATAGTATTCTCCAATCCTATCTATATGGGATTGCTTAATCTCATGTGACAAGAAATCACTCATGCTAATCATCCTTTTAACATATGTTTTCAACTCTAATTTCAATCCTTATCCCTTATTTTTAATACTCCGTACCAAACATAACCATAATGTAGATTCAGAAGTTGCTCTTACGTGAGTTTCATTTCACCAACTCAGTGGCAAGCTGCAAGTTTGTTTGTTGGTATAGCTTTTAAGGTGCCAACAATTAAGAAAATCCCATAAAGCAGGATTTGTGTCCCCCGTAATGAATCAGAAATATCTTAGTTTTCTGCCTACTACTAGGCACAAAACGATATTGGGCAAAAAAAAATTAACAACTTAAAACTTTCCAATAATTACTAATAAAAGTTTAAATCATGAGTATCCTCAAAAACTAAAGTTGTCAACATATTTTAAGAGACTTGTTGTTATCATAATTTTCTTGAAAATGAATTATTTAAATTACTTGGAAATATAAATTTCTTCAAAGTGAATAGTGATAATAACCCTTTAGAATTTAGTAACAAGTTTTTCTAATAAAAGACAACGATATTCTGATTAAAAGGATTTGTTTAGAGTACAGAACAACCAGTGGAACTAGAAGTACAGAAATGACAAAATTATATAATGGTTCTAACTGAAACTGTGCAAAGTAGCAAGTGATTCTTTTTTTTTAAAAAATGACGATCTTTCAAATTAGGGAATAACCCTCATATGCGCAAGGCTTCTTTTCAAGTGAATTTTATCCTGTTATGATTTTGAACTCCTAATGAATGACTGGAAACCACTGGGCGTTTTGCTTCAAAAGAAGGATACTGGTCTTGGCCTCGTTGAGTTTGCCAGTCCGACGCCCAGATATTCTCATGACTTGAAATGACTCATGGTTGTTGGACATGTATATTCACTAAAATCAAAAGAAAAATTCTTGATACAAAATAGAAAAAAATATTTAAGACTGAATCAGTCCCAAGCCATAGACTCGAGAGCATTTGGCAACCCTTATAATCACTTAAAAAAAATATTTTTATACAAATTAAAACATAATTTCTCTCACATACTTGCCTGTAAAATCATTTTTGAAAAGCTATTCCAACCAGTCAACCACCCTTTTTTTTGCTTGGGATAACTAGAAAGACAAGATTTTGAACAGCCATCACAATGCAGCACAAATTGTTAATGTTCCAAAGGCAAAAATTTTGTGGTCAAACCAAAAAGGTGAAATTTCCAAATCTTCCACACCAACGTCCCTCAGGCCTCAACCCACTTTTCCAACACAGATTCGAGCGTCCATTAGATGGTAAATAGCGACCAGTGAATTAAGGACAATGTTTTTTTAAAACAGCCATTGCAGGTACAATCGAGCACAACATTACAATAGCATACATAAATCCAATGACAGTTCTAAGAACCCTGTGATAGTGTCAGGAAAGAAATGGAGAGCGAAATAAAAAGAAAATTAGAACAAAGCTGACTATGGAGGAACGATGACTCTAACGTTAGTCTATGCATTTTCAAGACTTCAACATATAACCACTATGATAAGTGAAATTCCATGCAGTGCATCAGAAGCATAGACAGTTAGGTTTTAGTACACATTTAAAGAGAAAAGCATATACAGCAGCGTTGTACAAAACGAGAGCATAGTTCATACATTAGAAGATCAGAATATCATCTAGTACAACAGCTAAATGTTTTAAGTTTCTCGTCTTAGTGATTACAAATACTACATTGATAAAGTGCAACATCCAACAGTTCAGCGGGTTAAGACTAAACATTAAGCAAAAGGATCATAGTCACCTGTTCAACATCTCTGCTAACTAGTGGAGGTATGTCGCTTGATACTGATAGCCATTTCCAAAGTAGTTGCCATGATTAGGAGAGAGGTTGTAAGCCCCGGAACTCATGATTGGTGGGCAGTGATTGTCGGTTGGTCCAGTGTACATATAGGGAGGTCTGTCATACACATACTGCGGGTACCTATCAGCAACTCTAGCATAGGAAATTTTGTCAGCAGGGGCAATGTTAGTAACACGGGGACCATATCCTACACCATTAGCACGGGGTCTCTTGGGTTGAGGCTTTGTCGTTTCAGTTACTCTCTTCTTATCAGCCTTGGCTTTTTCTAGTTGAAGGACTCGTTTCTGGAGAGGATCCAGAGGATACTGCTCTTCAAGTTTATGCTCTTCAATGCACTTGATTACAACTTTGAGAGCAGTCAGCTCTCTTTCATTAACTTCAACCTATAAACAGCGAGTCAATGTCAACAACTGAACACTAAATGCCTTCAATATATTTAAACACATTTCAATCAAGATAGGAAGATGGCCCAAAAGATCATGAATATCTGCCATCAAGGCTACAACTAGACTAAAGCAGCAAAACATTTCAGAATATATCAAATTTCCCATGATATATGACTTTTAAGTTTCAATTCTGTGGCTAATAAGAGGGTTGTGTAAAACATGGCAAGTTAAGAATAATTTCAGATTTAACAAGTATGATAGTAAAGGAGGACCCTACTGACCGATTGCACAAGCAGACAAGCCAGAAGCACCACATCTTTGATTTAAACACAAATTTCAACTTGGATATTCAACGTTATCACAGGAACTACCAAGTTTGGCAAACGGCAAAACTGACTGGTCCAAATATAGCCCAAGTCAACATAGAAGCAAGAGTACGAATTGGGGTTAATATAATAAACCACGTCAACAAAAGTAGTTTCCACAACAGCAAACATTCCTCTACAAATGCCAAACTCAGAAGATTTTTACTATGGCCATGTATCACCTAGTTAGGCAACTTCAACTGATAGTATGAACGAGAATTACAACTCAATGTTATTTCAGTTTAAAAGCATCAAATAAAGAAGAACAGTAGCAATGCTTATTTAACACGGCTGAGAGCCTGAGACTAAACTACAAACCTGCAATGTGGGAGAAGAGTTGACACTTTTGACTGGAGAAGAAGCCTTTCTAGCATCCTTCAAGTAAGATTTTAGCAAAGGCACGGGAGAGAACTGTTCTGTAAGATCAAAAGCGAAGGCCAAGTTAACAGCATCAATCTGCCTCCCACTGTTCACCAAAACTTCAATAACACCTGCACATCCACAATGTAAAAATGAAGCATTAAACACATGCAATATCAAGATTACTTATCATCGTTAGAAATGCAATGTCCATGCATAGGACATGCTTTCCGAAGCATGTTGGTGATACTCTTGATTAACAAGCTAATAGGTATAAGGAACTGATTCATTCTGAACATTAGTAACGGAAACAATACACACCAGGCATTTTCTCTGACAGCCCAAGACAGCGACATAGGTCAGCAGTTTGACGTCTTCGAGACACCATTGGTATTAGCCTGGATAGCTCCTCTTCATTAAAATCAGAGGCAATACCAAAACTGGCTAGAAGTTGCAAAAATGCATGAGCCTCCAAGGAGTTCCCATTGCTAGCATCCATGTCAAGGGCATCCAATTTTGGTTTCCACTCTTCCGCAATTACCTTAGCCTTATTCTTAATATTTTCTGATATCAAATCAGAAACACAGTCTAAGTTGGTTAGCAACACACTTAAGCATTCCATCAGCATAATACAGGTTCGACGAAGACCTAACAAGTTTGCATCCTTCTTGACATCCTGATTTGGTGCCTCCATAGGGTAAAATCCTTCCAATGAATACAGAACCAAAAGGGCTGCATTAGGGGCAGATCTCAATGCATGCGGTATTTCATCCCTTATGGCAGCCAGGTCCTTACGATTATCAGATATGAATTTGTGCAGTCCTACTGCATTCATCTCTTCACACAGTTTAACCAGCTCAGGATAAGATTTCACCTCCACATTTCCACTTTCATGAGAATCTTTCAACCCACCCAAGTTACCCTCAGCAGACAAGGATGTAGCATCTCCTGGTTTCTTCTCCATTCCTGGTGCATCTTGACCACCATTAGAGACAACAGCCAAATCCTCAGATAAAACCTTCCTGTGCTTTTCTCTAGCATTAAAAATTGCAAATACAGCAGCGTTTCTTTTCTCTTGAAGCCTCTCCAGTGAAGCTTGCTCCTTGGCCAAAATAGCTGCTTCTCGCTTCTCCAACATTTCACGAGCTTTTATTGTTTTGTTTTCAAAGTCTTTTTCTTGGTCTTCCAATTCATGAAAACGCCTCTTCAAGGATTTCTCAAGCCCATGAAAATGCTCCTCAAGTTCTTTCCATTTCAGGTTAAGGGTTACAGCTCGATGACTTTCAAGTTCAGCAAATGCTTTTTGCAGCTGTCGTATCTTAGAGGATGTAGAAACCATCAATGAAGCAACAGAGTCGGTGTCTTCCATGGAAAAGAAGCTGAAAAGAAAAAAAAAAGCATGAACTGCATACTTATATAATGCAAACAGGAATTTTGTACAGTTCAGTGCTATGATCTTGGCTCTGCGAAGAGGATAAAAAGTAAAGTTATCAACTGGTTTAAACTTATAAAAAGAAACTATCCAACATTCCTCATATCACTGATGCTCAAAATGAGCAGTCCCTATCGAAGGGTTCACCAGTTTACACATGAAGCTCTAGAGGACATATGTGAAGAATTACAAGTTGTGGCTCTAGAAACAGAATGGTCTTAGAAAGAACAGCAAAAGCAAAAATATGCAGTGAAAAGAAAAGGTCAGAACGATAGCTTGCAGATAAGAACATCTTTATGAAAACATAAGGAATTCAGTTAGAATTGAAAATTAAAAACCATATGTAGCTTCCTAAAACACTATTTGTCCACATTAAAACCACCTTAAAACAGAGCAATTTATAATCTGCTTGCTAGACACTTTACCAAATGCCGGCAGCATGGGCATTCAATAAATCACAAAGGAGGAATGGTTAAAAACCTATAAAAAATCTTGGTGCAGAAGGACTAAAGCCCTAAGGTTTAAAACCTCCGACATTGCAGTTACTTGTGACCTGGGTTGCACTATGAACGTTTGGGTGCAAAATGAAAATGAACCAATTCTCAAGGGTAAAGAGTGTAACTCTCCATGCATACTTTCCCTTTCATTTAAAATACGATATCCTCTAGTCTTCCTTTGAGGTACGTGAAAGCCCAAACCTTTTGAATAATTCATGAGATCAAACTGTTTCTGTATATAGTGTTTGGTTAGCCATGAACTTCTATAGCAGCAAAAGGCAGCATATTAAGACTAAAGTGAGTGATTTCAACATTATGATAGAAACAGGGAAAGCAAAGCAATTGTTGAACGTCAAGAAAGGTTTCCGTTGATCCAGATGATATGTTAAGGTAAAAGGGTAATGAAAGGCACTGAGGACTTAATCATTCACCAATCACATACATCAACACATCCAAACTGAATTTGAATTTCATGCAAATCATAGGTTGTTTAGTCTAAATTTCTTTATAATTTGTCTCATCCATCCCACTTATCTAGCTAGATTGGTCACTAAGACTTTGAAGTAAATAACAAACTACAGCCTTCAAAACCAAAAATTGCGGCAAAGCTTACCAAATAAGACGTCCCCAGTTTGCGATCCAAACCTTAGATTCACGGGAACACAAACCCTAAGAACAAATTAGGCCCAACATTATTAAAGAATGATAAAGACAAAAACAATAACAACCCGAAGTAGGTTAAACTTTTGCTCTAGTAACACCCAGAAAATTCTCACTATAACCCTAAAATTTGCAGGAAAGAACAATTTACAAAGTCTCCTGTGCAGGAAACTTCCAGAGCAATGTCTACGAAATTCCTTCAACCAGAAACTCAAAAGAATTAGCAGGAAAGTGAAATTCCCTTCCTTTTAAACAAGAAGAGCCGATCCAAACTGAAAACAAGAACCGATTAATGTGATAAAATCACAAAAAACAAAAATTAAAACAAAACGGCAAGGAAAAGTTACCTGATTGATCTGATGAAAATTACTAAGACGACGCCTAAAGAGAAAATTCTCAATCCAATTTCCCCTCGACCGGTGTGGGTGTGGCAGCCGTAGCTCCGCAACCCTTGAGAGAGAGAAGGGGGAGAGAGAGAGGGTTGAGCGAGAGAGAGAGAGGAAGAAAAGAGAAAAAGTTAAGCTGAGGAAAGAGTGTGTTTATTCAGAGTCACAACCCCCCTACCTCCCTCCCTCTTTCTCTCTCCTACTTTTTTTTTTTTGGGCACCCCCGTTTTTGCTATGCGCTCACCAATACCATTGTCCGAACTGTTATCTACTCTGTAAAGCCACCACCCATGTCTGCTAAAGACTTCATTGAATTACCTAGGCCTTGTTTGGTTAAAAGAATCTGAAATTTATCAAAATTACAAACTTCTCCTCTAATTTTATATAAAATTCTAATTTTTCCCTGATTTTAAAGAGTATATTTTAGTGTCTCGCCTCTAGCTTTTGTTTGAAGGATTCCAACTCTAACACATTAGTTTTCAAATTATTTTTGTTTTAAAAATTTATTTTAATATATCAGTATTTGAAAATGTTGTTTCATCAAATAAAATTTCAATCTCCGTATATTTATGATAACGTCTTAAAATTTTATGATTAAAAATGAATCTTATCAAATTAAGGGAGTAAAATGAAATTTAGTGTAAAGCTAAATGATTGAAAGTGTATTTTTGTCACTGAAAAAAAAAAGCACTTTTGTTTAAATTGTTAAACTTTAATAAAAATAATTTTTGACCTTAAATAATTACACTACTCTTAAAATTAAGAACGAGGGTGGGAGAAAAGCCGTCTTTATCATATTTGTTGAGATATTTCTTAATTTTTGTTGGCTTAATTATCATTTACTTAGCCAAATTTTTTTAAAAACCCGTTGAATGACTCCTTACATCTTTTAACTATTTTTCATGCAATTGGACCATTTAGAATTTACAAAAAAATATACACAAAAAAAGCATTTACGAAAAATATTCTTTCTACATGTTTGATTTAGCTTTGTTTTTTTCTCAAATAATGTAGTTCAATAACTAGTTGTTTAGTTTACTTAACTATTAACCATGGTCTAAAGTTATCTTCCATTCAAAATTAAACTAAATTGGTAATCCTAATCTTTATTGTCAGTAATATCGTGTACATCTATAAATTTAACACACCACACAAGTATTAAATGACAAATTTTCACTGTCAATCTTTACTTTCCCACATCTTTGCTCTCTTTTTCTTCATTTCCTCTTTTAAAATTTCTTTGCCTATTTTCAATAGAATTAATCACATTTGTCGTTATAATACCCTTTCATCTTATCAACTAGATTTCCAGAATAACGAGTAGAATTAACCATAATGATATAAAAGAAAAGGAAAATTAATTTATTAGTTCTTATAGCTTCACTTAATTTTTCGATAAATTTTATATTTTTTTATTGGATCCTTACAATTTCTTCAATCATAAACATCAATTCCTTTAGTTATATAATTTATTAATTAAGATTAATGTATATGTTAAATAAATTACATATAAATTGCCACAAAATATAAAATAAAAAGAAGTTTTAAAAAAAATAAAACAATGGAATAAAATATATTCATTATCAACATAAAAATTAAAAAAAATCATTATGCTTATAATTTAGATGCTAAACAAATTACATATAAATTGCTACAAAATATAAAATAAAAAGAAGTTTTAAAAAAATAAAACAATGGAATAAAATATATTCATTATCAACATAAAAATAAAAACATTATTATGCTTAAAATGATCTCCCTTTATTTATATATAATATGCAATCTAGTTGATTTTGATTCTATTTAAATCTATTCGATAAAATAAACTGAAGTGTATATTGAGTGTGAATGAGAGTCTAAGTCATCAGCTACTAAAATCATTTCTTCTGTAAGTTATTGTCTCCGGTTTTTAATATAAAAGTTGAATAATTAATTTAAAAATATTTGAAAAATTATTTAAGTTAATTATTTATAATAGATATATGTTAAATTTTTTAAATTATCCTATATAATCATGTGCATTGAAATTATTTTTTGGTTGAATCTTACATTGAATATGGATTTCTTTTGGAAAAAGTTATAAATTTTGGGAGGCAAAATGAATTATTGAAATCTTATATTTAGATAAAATCTAATATCTCACTAAGTTTATATTAAAAAAAAAAAGGTAGTGACAAATTACGAGTACATACATCAATGCCGATAATTGAAAAAACTGCAGGGACCCGACAAGATATTATAAGTACCTAAGTGAAACTGCAAGAGAAAATGGGTTGGAAGGCGAGAACTTGGGTCACCGATAAAAATGATGCGATAACTTGACCCGACGAAACATCATTTTCAATGGAGAATGATGGCCTGCCAAGGTGAAATGACAATAAGGGTCATCGGAAATTTGGAATAGGAGATAATAAACATATTTACAAAAATGTCCTTACATTAAGACGACGCGAGCCCTCTGCCTCCGGATTCCCCAAAAACTTGGTGGGTCGGGTCAAGCCATTGAACCAATTGGTAACATAGCTTGTGAAACCCAGGCTACAGAGAGCACTGTAGAAAAAGTGTTAAACTCAAGGTTATAATTTTTTTTTTCTTCATAATATGTATTTTGACTGCGATAAATAATTGAAGCTCTTAGTGGTAAATTATAGCAAAGTGTAATGGTAATTGAAGAATATACAAATAAGAAAAAAATTGTGGTAAATAATAAAGGGTTAAGGTGTATCTAGCACCAAAAGTTTTTTTTTTGGTGCATCTAGCATTCAAAATATTTTGTGGTGCATTCAATATCCTAAAATATTTTTCCGTTATGCTTAGAACCTTGAATTTTTTTTTAGCGTTAATGCTGGATGTACCAAAAATAATTTTTAGATGCTAGATACGTCTGAGAAAATACTTTAAGGTGTTAGATAAATAAAAAAATACTTTGAGATGCTAGACACATTTAAAAAATATTTTAGAGTGTTAAATATATCATAAAATACTTTAGTATACTGAATACATCTGAAAAAATATTTTAGAATATCAGATGTACCTTAACCTGATAATAAAAGATCTGGTTTTAAATAACGTCAGTTGAGAGAAGTTTGAACCGTATATTCTAGAAAGTCCAATGCATAGAATAAAAAAAAATGTGCGTAATTTTCTCTAATAAAAATGGGTGTAATTTTCGTAATTTTGAATAAATATTTGTTATTTTAAATTTTTAGCAGGCCAAAAAAATTTGGTGCTTGATCAGAGCTTGGCCTAATGATGCTCCTCCGATCCTTAATATAAGATTTAATTACTAAATTAATTTTGGTCCTAAATATAAAATCTATTTTTTATATTTATCAATTTTTTCTAAATTATCCCTATGGATATTACCTCAACCATAATCAAGTAAGTGAAAGAGGGAGGATAATAAGAAAGATAATTATGGTGTTTTAGAGAAAACATATCATATTTCTTATAATTAACTAACTTACCTAACTTTCTTAATCTAATCAAATTAGTTAGATAAGTCTTCTATTAAGGATTGGGGGAACATTAAACATTAATGGCCTGTTTGGTTATAAAATCGATCAGAATATAATGATAAATAATATAGTGATGATTATTTGAGTATTTGTTTGGCACGTCATCAAGTAATTATAAAATGAAATTATATTTTATTTAAAAAATAAAAATAAATGCGAAATAATTTTTTTAGCTCTATTAAGGCTAAAAGTCCAAGGTATGTTTGTCTAAGTGTCCATTTGGTAGGAAACCGAGGGAAAGAGAAGGGAAGAAAAATTTTAATGAACTCGTTTTAAAAAATTGAAAAAATGGGGTTAAAATTTTGTACTTAATTTTTCTTACTTTTTCATCTTATATTTTCACTTTATCAAAATTTTATGACCATATTTCTTCAATTTTTTAAATGTTGACTCATAAAGGTTATAGATATACACACGTTAATTCATATAAGTTGAAACTCAGAGGCTCCGGTAAAAAAAAAAAAAAAAAAACTCAGAGGGGATTACTTGATTTGTTAATTGTTATTATCAGTTGCAATCAAATCACATTAGATCACTTTACTGCGCTAACTAGATACTTAAATTAACAAAATATATCAGGATTAGAATTAAGGGTGTGTTTGGATGAAACCAAACAGTGGTTTGAAAAAGTAATTCTGGAGAATAGATTCTGGGGAGAATAGATTTTGTGAAGAATAGATTTTGTAAAAAAGTGATTCTGAAAAGTGAGAGTGTTTGGATAGTTGTTATCAGAAGCACTTTTATATATACAAATTACTAAAAAAGAGACATAAGTTAATATGATAATTACAGAAAAATAGATTTTATGATATATTTTAATTTGAAGGAATAAAATTGTTAATAATATATTTTTTACCAACATAATTAATAATACATAAGATAATATAATTAATAAATAATTAATATGTATATATATTTATAAAATATAAGATTAAATATGTTTATAAAAAAATATGTTTATAAAAAAAATAACAAGATACATATCTTATAGGCTCTTACACTCTCCCTTTTTTCTCCAAAAGCAAAAAAATTTTGCTTTTCCCAAAACCAACAAAACCATGGTTTTGGTTTTTGAGTGGGTGTTTGGGTGATTTATTCCCCAAACCATAGTTTGGGTTCCCAAACCATGGTTTGAGGTGTCACCCAAACACACCCTAAATGTAACCGTCGTACATGGAATCGAGGGAGACATGCTATAAGTTTAATATTATAGGAAAAATGACAATAAAATACCTTCTGAATTTCAAAATGACAAATAAAGCATCTGAATAAACAAAATGACAAAGAAGGCATTAGGTATCAATCTGGAATTTTGATTTTTGGCCTCAAAATATGATGCAAAACTAATTGACAAAGTAGTAACTCTTACTATGAAAGTTGTAAATCCCATTATATGTTTTGTAAAATTCAGTGTGGAATTGTATTGTTTTTTTATAGAAAAGTTGCCCAACCTCTCAAAATAGGTTGCAAAAACCATTAATCAAGTAGTAAATCTCACTATACAAATTACAAATCTCATTATGTATTTGTAAAATTCAGCGTGGAATTATATTTTTTTTACAGAAAACTTACCCAACCCTTCAAAACAGGTTGCAAAACCCATTGACAAAATAGTAACTCTCATTATGAAAACTGTAAATCCTACTATATGTTTTGTAAAATTCAAA